CGCCTGCTCAATGCCCTCCCCCTGACAGAAGGCCTCCAAGAGGCCGGAGGAAAACTCACCACCTCTGTCAGAGTGCAGTCGCAGGACGGGAAGGTCCGTGCAAAAGCGCCTCTCCAGCTGGAGACGAGTAGCGCGGATCCAAGGGATCAAGACAGCAGGGACCTCTCCCTTGGTGCGCAAGAGGAAGACCGTGGTGTAACGCGTGTAGTCGTCAACTACCAGCAGGAAGTAGCGCTCTCCGCCCTGTCCACGGACGCGGGCTGGGCCCCACACGTCCATGTGAAGGGTCTGCAGAGGAGCCTCCGTCGGGGGGAACTCAGAGGAGTGAGGAGTGGCACGCTGCCGCCCCTCGACACAGGGAAGGCAAGGAGGGGCAGGGGACGGAGGCAGGGGAGGCAGTGACCTGGGGAGACCAGAGACAAGGAAACGAGAGTGCATGCCACGAAGGCGCTGCATCGAAGGGTGCCCAAGGGGGTGGTGCCAGAGGACCGTCCAGTGTGACAGGGTGCGACACGAGCAGGGGGCGGACAACTGACCTCACGCAGACGCAGACGCCGCTACCTGAGGGGACTCAGTGGTCAGTGTGTACAAGTCCGACCCCGGCTGCCGAGTGAAGGTAGCCAGGTGACGACCCGTCTGGGCACACGTGCAGTGTGTCACACGCTCGTAGGCAGGGATGAACTGGTGAACACCCGCGTCCTGGAGCGCAGAACCCGCCACCAAGTTCGTAGAGAACGAGGGGAGGTAAAGGCCCGACAGTGTGCCGGACGGGACAGCAGGACAAGGGAGGGCAGTGGTGGAGGTCGCAAGGACCGGACCCCCGGAGGGGTCAGCCAGGGAGACAGCAACCGGCCTAGGGAGCTGCTCGAGGGCAGTGCGGTCGCGAAAGAAACAGCGGGAAGCACCTGAGTCCAGTGTGAAGGTGTGCAATGCCTCAGTAGACGCAGTACATGTAGGTGCAGACTCACAAGCACCTGAAGCAGCAGACACACCTGCACCTAGAGCAGCAGCCTCACCAGGACCAGGGGCAGCAGACGCACTAGCACCTAGAGCGGCAGCCTCACCGGCACCTGGAGCAGCAGACTGGATACCGGGGTCAGGCAGCACACACAGGTGACAGGCTCCCTCGGCACTAGTAGACAGCTTGATCGGCACCTGACGGGCCTGCAGAGGCTGCGTTCGGGCGGCGAGGGCCTGCAGGGGCGGCGCGCGGTCGGGCAGAGGCTGCGCTCGGGCGGCGTGGTCCTGCAGGGGCAGCGCGCCGACCTGACGGGCCTGCAGGGGCGGCTCTCGGGCCTGACGGGCCTGCAGAGGCGGCTCAGGGGCCTGACGGGCCTGCAGAGGCGGCTCGGGGGCCTGACGGACCTGCAGGGGCGGCTCGAGGGCCCTACTAGCTTGCAGGGGCGGCGCACTGGCCTAGGGCAACAGGAGGCAGCGCGAGGGCTGCAGGACGGAGCGCAGGCAGAACGAAGGGCGGGGCGCGCGAGGGCGCACTAGCAGAAAAAAAAGGGTGCACGAGGGCGCACGAGCAGAGAAAGGCGCACAAGGGCGCACGTAAGGTAGGGCGCACGAGGGCTCTTCTAGCGGAATAGTGGGCCCGTAGTAGTAAGCGGTCCTAGGTGGCAACCTAGGCTCGTGATACCATGTCAGAATGAACAAGAGTGATTGCACTAGGAAAGAGTTGGGTACAAGTAGGAAACCCTAAACTTACTGTACCCCATAGTAACTACCCCACTACAGCCTAAACAAACTGTAGCAGATATAACATTTGACAGCATCAAACATCGCCGACGCACTCACACGTCCTACCGCCCAACTCCACGCCATCCTACTCACCCAAACCAACCCGCTGTTAACAGGCCTATTCACCCACGAATACAGTACCGACCCATTTTTCACGACTGGAAATTCACAGCAACTGGCAAAAGCTAAGGGAGTCTATTATGTAAAGATAGGCACCAATCACATTTGGGTACCTGCGTATTCACTACTGTGGGAATTATTACTGCAGGAGGCACACGACGGAATTATCTAGGGACATTTTGGGGTAGAAAAAACTCAACGGCAACTGCAGCGGGTTACTATAGATTTCATCACATGGTTACCTTCGAACCCTGGGGGTAACGACGCGATTATGGTCGCGTTGATATAGTGACGAAAATGGCTCACTTCGCTGCGTGTTGGAAATCGATCTCAGCCGAAGAAACCGCTCGTCTGTTCATCGCAGCCGTCGTTCAACTACACGGGATACCAGCCGCGATCATTAGCGACCGCGATACGAAGTTCACCAGCAACTTCTGGAAGAACCTCTGGGAGCATTTCGGGACCAGGCTACAGTTCAGTTCATCGTACCACCCCGAGACCGACGGTCAAACGGAGCGGACCAATTAGACGATGGAGCAATTGATCCGGGCCACGTGCGACGACCCGACAACTTGGGAGTAGCAGCTGTCGCTGATCGAGTTCGCCTACAACAACGCCACGTCAGCGACGACGCAGCAGTCCGCGTTGTACCTGAACTACGGGCAAAACCCTACAGTGCCCATGACGCCGAGTCCGGACAACCCAACACCACTCGCACAGCAATTCGCCGAGATTCTGCAAGCTGCCCGCACCAGAGCCGCCGAAGCAATTAAAAAAGCCAGCGTCATCGCAAAACGCAACGCTGACCGCCACCGCCGCCCAGTCACGTACCAGTCAGGAGATTACGTACTGCTCGATACGCAGAACTTAAGACTGCCCGTCGTGCCGAAATTACGACCGCGCTACTGTGGACCATTCCAAATCAGCCACATGATCACCCCAGTTACTGCCCACTTACTGTTGCCGACAGACTGGTACATCAGCCCATCATTCCACGTCAATTGCCTCGTCACCGATCGTCATCCATGACTCGCCCTGCATCGGAGCCGATCATCGAGCCCGAAAAAAGTCTGAGCCATCGGATTCGACACCCCACAGGCATCAAGAGGATCGAGTTCCTCGTTCACTGGAAGGACCGCATGCCAACTGAGGATAGCTGGGTGCCCCTGGCCAACATTGAAAACCACCCTGCCCTGCAAGTGTATCTGAGGAGCCGGGGTTTCCGCGATATACACGCACTCGCGTAGCAGAGGGGCCTTCTTGATGGGGGGGAGGTAGTGTAAGGAATTTTCTCGACATTCCTTACCGCGACCTGCAACATCACGTATAGCAGCAGCCGTTGTTCGCCCGTTACCGCTAACGGGGCTTCGCCAACTTTGCGCGCACTGTTTCACCAAACCATGCACCGCTGGCCCAGCCGTGTCGCCCTACGCTTCGGGACTAGCCCGAGCCTCGATGCCAGCCTAGCACTAGCTAGCTCGCACGCACCGCGTTACCGTTTGCATGTTTTGCATATAAATGTTCGCTCATGCCTTCGCTCATATTTTGTACTCATTTGACAACTTAGTGCAATCCTCGCTACCTCGATTCATTGCACTCGTAACACCTTCGCACCGGCGGAAGCATTGGCTACAGTGTTTGGACGTAGCAGGCTGGTGTGATAACTCATGGCTGTGCGTGCTTACGAGAGAGCACTCGAGCAGCAGTACTGGGCGCTGAGGGAGGGACATCAACCCCCAAAGAAAATAATGAATGATTTGGAAGCGAAGGTGTGCACGGTTCGAAAAGAACGTGACTCTGAATACTATGTCTTACGAGTGCAATTGAGAGAGCGATCGAGTATTGTACGTTCGAAGAAAATGAATACAACGAGCACAGTTACGGTATGAGCAACGTTTCAATTAGTGAAACAAGATGGTAACGATAACAAGTGAACGAAGGGTTGCCCTACCGGACTGGCCTACCGTTGAGGTTGGGAATTGTCGAGGAGAAGGGCCGGATAGCGGGTTACCAGCCGAGCCGTCTGATTTGGCGCGATGGATGTGGTGGCGGGAACAGTTATTGAGGAGAATGCCGCGGGGTGGTAACGAGACGTCGTTTGATTGTAATGGAGGGAATAGTGCTGTATGCGGTAGAGGTGATCACACAAGGAAAAGTTGTTTCCGTACATATTTTTTTTCAACCAGTCGTTGTAGTGAGTCCACTCCTGAGGAACGACAATGTTTGTGTCAGACGCCCAGCAGATTGGGCCTTGTGCTGCTCCTGACTGTCAGCTCCCGCCCTCAAATTCAATTTCCCACCAATCATGCCACGTCATGACGCGCTGACGAACAGCTCACTGTCCGCATACATCTGCGATATTCGACCCCTTGCGACACTCTCCCGTCAATAAGTTCAAAAGCTACCCCCATGATCGATCTCATGCGAAGTGGTGCTGTAGCGCAAGACAAGATGTGCATCTGTTGCAGAAGTCGCATACGCTCGTGCAGAGTTCGCGTCAGACGAAGTGGTCAGTAATGCAACAATCCACTCAAAACGGCCAGCGGCGACGTCGCTAGTTACCGGATCTCTGTAGTAACGTTGCGTCGCCATCCACCCATCGCCATCGGTCCATCCTCCCCATCCCAAGTCCCCAACCCATCTCGCTCGAACGGATCGCATCGCCTACGGCCTCGCCATTTCGTCGCAGGGCACCTCGACGACGAATCGTCTCGTCGCACAACACTCTTGTCATTCGACCTGCGCTGACACCGCGCCAAGGGACATTACAAACACCGCATCTCCCCATCCCATCTTCAGCCCATTCAAACTGGATCCTCGATTTCGGGTTCCTAATTTCAATGCTTCAATGGCTGCGAGCTTCACTTTAGCATGATGAGATTACGGGCACCTCTCACTGGCCCACTCCCTACTCACTCTTTTTCCGGCCCTCATTAGGTGCGACCGTTTGTTTTGCCAACGACGAACGAGGGCCGCATTTCGTAGCACATTTACAGAGCGTCATGCGAACACAAGCTCTAATCTGCGAATGATTGCCACGCACGACGAAAAAAACCTCGACTGCTTGAGATTGTAATCCGGTTCGCCTGCGACTTCGACGCGCGGAAGCAGCCATGGGACAGCAGCATCTGAGCGCCATGGTGCGACGGGCCGTGCAGCTGCACGAGCAAGTCAGTGACGCAATCGAGCGGATTCTAAAGAGCGATTTCTACCTCGCTGCGGGCCAGCTCAAGCCGCGGTACGCGGTCCGGCTGATCGTTTCTTACCAGAGAACCTTCGGAGAACCTCTCTCTTGCAATATCTAAGCCGGTGATAGCCTGCGGATAATGCTCATTGTGTCAATCCCCTCTCCCCCCGCGTCCCCGGACGTTTCCGTCGCAGGCTTCACGACGTTGCAGAGATGTCGACGTCGCTAGAGCTGCTGTTTATCTTAATATTATTCATCTGTTTGTTCGATTATTCATTCACTTATTCATTCACCACTCTTATAATGCGGATGCTACCCACCCACCTCCCGCGCCAGGCTGCACGACGTGCCGGAGCTATCAGTGTCGGTGAAGCTGCTACCCAGCAAGAGCGGCAAGCACGGCGCCGGGAGAAAGGAGCAGACCCCCGTGCATCCGCGCAGGTGAGCTGGGTTGGCTACCTCTTACCGCTCACCGCTCCCCGCTCCCCGCTCCCCGCTCGCCGCTCCCCCCTCCCCGCTCCCCGCTCGCCGCTCCCCGCTCGCCGCTCCCCGCTCCCCGCTCACCGTTCCCCGCTCGCCGCTCATCGCGGGAATCAGGAGCTCAGCGCGGCAGATGCACGTGCTGCCGCTTTTGCCGTGGCGGGTGTGCTTCGCGCCCAGATCTGCGGCGTCTGCCATCCGCACTGCTACCCCACATACATGCTTCACTGCTAATCCCTATGCTCTCCGCCAAATAATGGCCACAGAAATGGGCAGAAATATTGCTAAGGCCAATAGGATCCGTTGCACGAAGTTTCGATTGGGATCAGAACAAGCGGCGGGGATCGTTCCTCTTCCGTTCCGTTTCCCAGATTGCGGATGTACTTCTATCCGCCATGCGCCATCGATCTTGCGTTTTTCCCCTCTGTCACTTGCCCTCTGCTCATCCGCCATCCGCCATCCGCCATCCGCCCGCGATCTTGCGCTTTTCCCCCTGTCACTCACCCTCACCTTCCGCTGCGTATCTTCCTCTCTCCCCGTCACTCGTCACTCGTCACACGTCACCCGCCACCCGTTCGCCACGTGGCAAGCGCAGGCACGCCGAGGGCAAGGGGAGCGTGTCGGTTGACGCGATTCGCCTCGCCGAAGCCGCGGCAGACGACGCCGCCGCCGGCGCTGGCGTCGTGAAAAGCGGCGAGCGGGCGAGTGACAAAGACGCGCGCACGGGCGGAGAGGAGCCTCCCCCGCGCGCGGAGCTGGCGGGGAAGGCGCGGGAGCAGGCGGAGGTGGATCTCCGGTGCGCCGCTGGCGGCTGCGGCGGCGGCGGCGGGGGAGGAGGAGCGGCGGAGGAGGATAACGAAGAATGCGAGCAGTTGGGGTACCAGCACGCGTACGAGAAGCAGGCGGAGGTTGCGCGCAAGGACGGGCAGGCGGACAAGGGCGTTCCGGGGGAGCGCACGGTCGAGGCGCGCGTGCTGATGTCGATTAGAGACGCGCTGGAGATGCTGGATTGGCACCTGGAGCAGCTCATGGAAATGGAGCTGGACGAGCGGCGCCAAGTGGCGGCGGCGGCGGCGGCGGCAGTCATGGCGGAGCGGCGCGCGGAGGAGGAGCAGCGCGGGGGGGTGAAGCGAGGGGATGGGCGCGGGGGAGGTGGTGGTGGAGGTGTGGGTGGGGGTGGGGCGGAGCAGACGCCGACGTCGCGCGCGCCGGCGGCGGGGGGGGGGGGGCGCGGGCGGGGCGGGGAACGTGGCGGAGCAGAAGCGCGTGGTGCGCGAGGTGCAGCTGGTGACGCGCGTGCTGTGGTCGCAGGCCAAGTGCCACTGCGGGCGCGAATGGAAGGTGCGCGGTAGAGGGGAGGGGGACGAGGGGGAGGTGGCGGGGAGGGGGAGAGGGGGAAAGGGAGAGGGGGAAAGGGAGAAGGGGAGGGGGAGAAGGGGAAGGAGAGAGGGGGAGAGTTCGGCCCTGTGTGCTTACTCTTACTGCATCCGCCCATCCGCCTGAACGCCCATCCGCCTGAACGCCCATCCGCCTGAATGCCCATCCTTTCCCATCTCCCATCCTCTGCTGCTTGTCCCCACCTCTCCCCAATCTCTGCGGTCTCTCTTCCCCCTCACCCCCTTCTAAGCCCCTCGCGTTTTCCTCGCTCTCCCTTTCACCCCTCCCCTTTCCACCTTCCCTTCCCCCTCCGGTCGTCGATGAGGTGCTGCGTTGCGCACCCAAACTACATACAATACGGATGTTCAAACCCCCCTCTCCTCCCTCCCCTTCCCCCCTCCCCTTCCCCCTTCTCCTCCCTCTCCTTCCCGCCTCCCCTTCCCCCTTCTCCTCCCTCCCCTTTCCCCCTCCCCTTCCCCCTTCTCCTCCCTCCCCTTCCCCCCTCCCCTTCCCCCTTCTCCTCCCTCCTCTTCCCCCCTCCCCTTCCCCCTTCTCCCCTTCCCCCCTCCCCTTCCCCCTTCTCCTCCCTCCCCTTCCCCCCTCCCTCCCCCTTCCCTCTTCCCCCAGGTCGTCGATGAGGTGTTGCATTTCGCGGCGGAGGTCGCATGCACGCCCTTCAACCCCTACCCCCCCTCGCCCCCCGGCCCCACGTATCTTCCGCTCATCTCCCCCGCCGCCGTCCCGTCCGCCATCTCGCGCGTCTCCGCGCGCCACCACAAGCAGCACCAGGCTTCCGCGCTCGCCCACGCCGCCGCGCACGCGCACGCCGCCGCGCAGGGGCATCCCCTCGCGCGACCTTGCGCGGATGCCCCCGCGCGGGCGCACCATCGGCATCGCTCCCCCATCCGCGTCAAAGCGGCGTTGCTCCCCGCGCCTCTCCCGCCGCCGCCGGCACCGCCGTCCTCGTACCAGTCGTCCCCGCCGGTCTCCCGTGCGCGGGCCCCCGGCTCCTGCGCCAGTGACGGGATCCGCGCAAATGGCGGCGGAACGGCGCGCGGGGGAGAGGACGCGGCGGACGGGCAGCGCGGAAAGGCAGGCGGGGAGCGCGAGGTTGAGTTGCGCCGGGGAAGCGCGGGCGAGCACGGGAACGGCGCGGAAGAGGGCGGAGTGCTGGGTGCGCGCGCGGAGGGGAATGTGATCCGCGGAGCGGAAGGAAGGGGTCTCGGCGGAGAGTTTGGGGAGGAAATGGCTGGTAACGGGGAAATTCCGCGGGTAGTGCGCGTGCTGGAGTTTGCGCAGCAGGGGGGGGACTCTGACGGGGGAGGCTGTGCCAGTCGTGGGAGCAACGCGGAAGGGTTGGGAAAGGGGGCGGGGGAGGCGGGGAAGGGAGCGAGAGGACGAGAGGAGAGGAGGGGAGGAGGCGGAAGGGAGAGGGGGGAGAAGGGGGAGCAGCGGCGCGCAGAGAGGCAAGGGCAGGGGGGAATGCGTGTGTTTCTTCCGCGGGTGCTGCCATGGCAACACCAACACCAACATCAACACCAGCAGCAGCAGCACCTATACGGGCAGCACCAGCCGTACCACTATCAGCAGCAGCAGCAGGCGCTGATGGCCCCAGTTCCCCGTCGCAAGGTCTCTCCATTGAGATCACCTAACCACACGCTCACGCACACACAAACGTACTTGAAGAGCTCTCCTCACAGCGGCACGGGCAACAAGAGCGGCACGGGGAACAGAAGCGGCACAGGGAATAGGAGCGGCGCAGGGAAGGGTCAGAATGGCGGCAGGCGAGGAGCAGCAGGGAAGGGGGAAGGAGGCAGGGAGGGGGAGGAAAAGGAGGAGGGAGGAAGAGGAGCAAGAGGAGGAGGGGGAGGAGGAGGGGGCAGAGAGGCGGAGGGGCAGGGGAAATGTGAGGAGGAGAGGGTGTTGATTCAGATGAGTTCAACAGAGCAGAAGAAAGTGTTAAGTCCACTCCCTGGTGTAGACTCTCCACACTCTCCACACTCTCCCGACTCTCCCGACTCCCCAGACCCTCTAGGCCGTCTGCATCCTCTCCGTGATTCAGCACCCCACGCACTTGCTGCTGCTCTCCATGTGCCCAGGGCGCTTGGAAGCCTCGTCGGAACCCCTCTGGGGGTGGCTCTGAGGGCCGTTGGGTGGCCTGTGAGTGGCGGCTGGCGCGTGCTGAGGGGGATGGGCGGGGAATGGGGCGGCGTGGGGGGGGTTCCGCCTGTGGTGCTGCGGGTTGGGGGGGTGATGGGCGCAGGGCTGGGCTTGTGGGCGGTGGCGCAGATGAGGGGGAGGGGGAAGGGGCGGAAGGGGGAGCGGGGGCAGCTGCTGATGTGGGGGGAGAATGGGCGGAGACAGCAGGTGGCTGCGGCGGTTGGGAAGAGTGCTGAGAAAAGAGGGAATGCAAATCGCAATGGCAATGGCAGTGGCAGTGGCAGTGGCAGTGGCAGTGGCAGTGGCAGTGGTGGCTTGATACGAGGCCAATATACTGCAGGGCCTACAGCTACAAGGACTGGCAACGGTTATAACCATTACCACTCACACGAGCAGTCACATGCTCAGTCACATGCTCATGTGTACGATAAGTACTATCAGCCCTATAGGCATGGCCTGCCTGATAGCCCATACATGCAGCATCAGGCAGGGGGAGAGGAGGCGTGGACGAATGGGGACGGGTGGGAGGCGGATGGTGGGGGGAGGAAGAAGTTGGGAGCGGGTGTGAATGGGGGGGAGAGGGGGAGAGGAGAAGGGGAGGTGGATGGGGATATGTGGGATGGGGGGATTGGGGAAAGGGGGGAGGAGGAAGAGGGTGAGGGGGGAGAGGAGGAAGGGGAGGTTAGAGGTGACTTGGGGAAAGTGCATGGGCTGTACTTGGGAAGTCGAGGAGGGGAGGAGTGGGGGGATGAGAAGGTGAAGAGGAAAGGGTATGGAGGTTCTCGCATGGAGAGTGGTGGCCGGAGCAGCAGCAGCACTGTTGGGTTGCAAGGGAGCAGCAGCACGTTTGGGAGCAGCAGTGGGGGGCCTAGGGCAAGTGGGGAGTCTGAGGGCCTGAGCAATGCTAGTGTTACACAGCTGCGTGGTTACGCGCACGGGCGTCGGCCTATTGTGGGAGATGGAAATGGAATGGGCAATGGTGAAGCCATGCGGACTGGGCAGCGGACAGCAGGGAGCGAGCGCAGGGAAGGGGCGCTTGATTTGGCTAGAGGATGGTTACACAAGGTGGGGAAGGTGGACATGTGATGTGATGAAGTGAAATGTGATGGGATGTGATGCGATGGTTGAGGGCGTGGTGCTTTTCGCTTAAAGCACGAGTCTAGATGGCGTGTTTCAACTTCAACTTAGACAGGCGTTTCTTGTTTCTTCTGAAAGAGGACCGACATTTGTGTTTTGTTTGTTGTGGTCCGCGCAGGAATTGGGAAATCGACTGTGAGAGATTTCGAGTTGCCAGTCAGTCGGCGTTTATGTTGTTTAATTGCTAGCTTGTCAATGTATCGCACTTGAAATGTAGACATGGAATTTATTGTTTGTGAGATGCCTATAACATCACCACGGAAGGTATAGAGCCCTGTCTTCCCTGCCTGGATGGAAGTCCTTTACTGAACCTCACTATGAAGAGATTTCCATGTCCTGTCCCAGACGGTGCCATTCGGCGTTTCCTTCCCCGCGCCATGCACTGTGCGTGCAGCACACCCGCCATCCTTGTTTGGGATTTGTCTTGAGGTCGCATTCAAATCATCCACACTAAGGGCGTGTCATGTAGGGTGTATATTTGGCTTTTACACATTTTTTACGTAATTGTGTTTTTTTTTCCCAAATGTGCTGCCCGCCGTACAGAAAATGGTTTGTGTCTGGCTGACGCGAACCTATTTTTTCCACGCGGACATACAGTCCCGCCCGAACACAAACCGTGTGGCATATCAGAAGTCGCGAGAGGTAACCTTGTCGCACTGCGAATTTCGTTACTTTATTCGGCGGGATATTCTCACGCCCGTGCCATGGGAAAAATCGCCCTGGGACTTCGTTTGTTTTCGTTAGACCTGTTTTAGCGAACTTCGCATGCCTGAAAACAACTTGGCAAACCCGAAATATGTGTGTACATGTTCTGTACTCGAGTGCATGGCACGTGCTGCACACGAACTAGGACACGTAAAAAAATCGCTGCCAGAAACGAATCCAGAAGTGACTGTCTGTTCGGCTCGTAAAATGCATATGTTACAGAATGTTATCGGGTAACAGGACCGCAAGTGAAATTACTTTTGCCAATCAAGACACGCCCTAAAACCATCCCCCAGGAATCGGTTCGAAAGTTGCATGCTTCACATGAAGACGTGTCTCACTTAGACGGGTCCGCGAGTCCGCCCCGGACTGGTCCGCCACTAAAATTGTGCCTAGAGAAATACCCTGGACTGGTCCGTCGGACCAGTGTGGACCAACTGATTGAACCAGCTTCGGACTCATTGTTGTTGGGTCCGCGGATGCAATCTACAGTGGCGTGTAGTCGAGCATAACTGTACACTTTTCCAAAACTGGGTTACCATGACGCAAAACTGTACAGTGCATTTTGACCATGACGCACGAGCGTGGTCACCTCTCACACCCGTCATTCGCTAGTTCACCAGTGCACTGCCAAGTTTTGCGACACTTCCGTGGTAAGTTCGCAGGTGTTCGCCAAAAACATCACTATTCAGGGGTCCGATGTGGACTGGTTCGCCGAGCCAGACAAGTCTCCCCAGTATAGTCCCATTCGCCCTTGGAACACCTTGGAACGGGGGGGACTACCTTGGAACACCTCTGGTCCGCTGCAGCGTACCATGTGGGTCCACGCTCGGGTCCACCCTGGTTTGGTGGACTGGGCCACGTAGACCGCCTAGAACCAGGGTGGACCGAGGGATTTGAGACACCTTCTGAGTAAATCGTGAAAAACCCAGCTGAGCTTCGCGAGATTAGACGAGCCGGAAACGAAATATTCCCTGTTTGTACCATGCGAACAGCTTCAGAGTTCAGACTAGACAGCCAACCAGCCGACCAACCAGCTGTCTGCTTGGAGGAGCTGATCAGCTGGTTGGATCATGGATTGGGTTGGTGTTGGTGTTGTAGGGTGTCTGCTGCAGAAGTGCAAGTGAAGCTGTTTCTTCTTTCTGATGAGTGCATGACTGCATTCCCTAGTGCAAGACTGCATTGCATTGCAAGCTAGTGCTAGAGCCGCTGTCAGTCAGACACGCTCACCAGAATGTTTCAGATGCAGTGTAGAACGCGATGGTTCGCTTCGACGATTGTGATGCTCCTAGCCTTAAACCTTGTGGAACCCCCGCTTCGTGGCGAGGCCGTTAAAGTGAGGGACATTATCAGAACTCTTAACATGTACATTGAAAAGGAATCCTCGCCGTTGACGGTTTCTGACGTGGATCTCCTGCAGCGCTTGCTCATCGTCAGCGGCATTACCGAGCTGCCAAGAGGCACGCTCCTGCTTCCGGACAAACGCGCGTGGAACAGTGCGCGGATTAATTACCCTAAACACAATAACAAAACTTGGGCATTTAATCCGGCGCTCCAGGAGGTTCTAAATCTGGTCGATCAACCTGACATCGCGCAGCCTCCCTGGTTGGTGAACCAGACAATAAGTTCAGGAGCAGCCAGCGTGATGGCGAATCTCGTGAAATTCCACGTCCTGACGGAGTACATTCCGCCGGCCATCGCGGACCTAAACGTAAGCAAGATTCATTTCTCTCCAAGCCCTCCCTCCCTTCCCGAGCCATTCGTCTATCTGCATTCTCAACCCTGTAGACATCGAACCGCTTCCACTTTCTTCCATTTCACCATCCGACATTGTGCATTTCATTCCATTACACCTATCCCGCACGCAGTACACAAAAGGAGGTCCCTGGAGCCTTTCCACACTCCTGGGCCAACCCATGTGGCTCTCCTACCAAGCACTAGATTCTTCACCGGGCGTAGGGTCATGGAATGTGTCTGGAACCTCCCCAGAGCAAAGCGCTGCAGATGCAGCTGCAGGCGTTGCTGGTGCGGAGGACCTTGACGGCAGCCCCCTCGTGTATTATGACAAGCTGCTCGCGAGTACTCTAGTGGGTGACATTCCGAGCCAGATGGCGGTGTATCAGATAGGAGCAGTTCTGCTGCCTTATAACATGACAGCTCTAGGTGAGCCTTCGGTCTTGTGTGCTCCTGCTGGATGTTCTGATACCAATCTGTGCTATGATTCACCTGCTTGTTATGCTATCCCTGCATTGCCATCTCTTGGCTCGGGTGTTCAGCTTTGTTGAGATGCCTGTGCAATGAGCTCATCCTTGTCTTGTGCATGCCACATGCCGCATCTCACATGCCACCATGCCGCCATGCACCATGCCACCATGCCACCATGCCGCCAGGTGGAGTGAGTCAGAATAGTAGCACATCAGGGGTGTCGAACGGGACAGCATCGCAACCCACAGCTGGCACGAGCAAACCGAGTGGTAAGCCAACGCTAGTCACATGATAAATCTCAAAATTGACTCCAGTCACTTAGGCCGCCTGCCCTCCCTTGTCTCGTTCCCCGCTGTGTGCCTCAGAAGGCTGTGCCTAACATAGAGTAGGGAAAGGAAAAACCCATTTGCCTTCTGACCCCATTCTTCCTGTCCTGTCTGCCTCCTCAGGTGCAGCTGGCTTTCTTGCTGCTGCCATCGGCCTGATCATGCCACTGCTCGCCCTCACCATCTAGCCATGCGTGTTACAAACATCGCGTTCTCAGATCAGACGTCTCATACCAGTAACTCCTCGCGGCTGCCCGTGGGCTGGTCGTGTCACCGCTTGCTCGCCCTCACCATCTAGCTTTGATGCATCTCATCATGAGTCGTGACTCATGCCCCTCCCTTGCTTCGTATTGTCTAGTGTCAAGAAGAGGCCTGTTATTGCCTCCTGGTTTTCGCTGTATAGCGCCGTGCTGGGGAAAAACAGAGGATCAGGCCGCATTGTTTCGCATCGCGCTGCATGCCTGTCACACAGCCCAGAGTATGTTTCTTTGCTTTCAGTCTTTGGGTGCATGTGTGTGCGTGAGTACAATAGGTATGATACACCGGTACATGTTGTTAGAACCAGGGCCCAAAATTGGTTTTAGTGCACTCTTGGTGGTCAGGGTGCATTGTTCACGTCACCCTTTCTGTTAGGGTGATTCATTATCCACCCTTTCAAAATCAGGGTAGAATGAGGGTGGTGAAAAACCACCCTGATTCTGTAAGGGCGAATTTTTCCCGTTACGTTTTGTCAATTAAAAGTTACCATACTCAAGCTTTATACAATGTTCATCTTGTTAGCTTGCAGCGAGATCATACTCTTCACAACATGAATATTTTTAAAAGCTGTAACGCTTTTAAAACCCATTTGAAATGAGACGATGCCATTGCTACAACAAGAAAGCAAGCTTTCTAAATACGGGCAATAAAAATGTCGTAGTGGGGCTGGCATGGTCGGGGAACAGGGGGGGCAGGGGTTGGGAACGATGAGGGAAATGTGGGGACAGGGGCTGGGGGAGGTAAAGGATATGCGGGAAATGAGGCTTGGCAAGTCGAAGGAAACGTGGGGAGTGAGGCTTGGCGAGCTGAAGGAAGCGGGGGGAGCGAGGCTTGGAGAGTCGAAGGAAACGGGGGTCGGGGAGGGGGAGGGTGAGGCTGGAAGCGGCGAAATGAAAAATGAGGCTGGAAAATGCGAACAGATTGGGCCTCGGAGAGAGGGGAAATGGGGGAAGTAGGGTTGGGAGGCTGTCAAAACATACCGTCATCGCCCGGATATAAGACAGTGTTGAATAGTAGACAGGGGTTGTCTACTATATGGGTGTCTCTTATAAACAGGCTAGCCTTTTTATACGACACCTATTTGTGTGTACGAGATAAGACATATATGTCTTATAATCAGAACTAGGGTTTATGGGTTTTCTTATAAACAGGGGGTGTCTTCTAAACGAGCCTTCCTTACTATAGGGGGGTACATGCATACAGTCATGAATCTCTACTTCTACCTAACCCCCCTCAGTCACCGCCTCCTCACCTGCACTAACAACAGGCTCTACACCCAGGTCTGGCACTCGCCAGGCATGCCTAGCCGTCTCCTTAGGCTCGATCATGCGGTCAGCCTCGGCCGCCGCTCCGCGGTAGTTGGGGGTCTCCTGGTACAGCACCTCCAGGCCGGTTGCCACGGCCACCTCCCGCATGCCCTCCGCCTGCATCGCCTCCTCCTCCTCCTCCTCCTCCTCTGGAGCTCGCCCGAGCAGGCGCGTGTTGTCGCCTGTGGTCCCCCCGAGGGACATGTCCGCGGAGACATCGGTGGTGCTCCTGGCGCGCAGGTGAGACATCACCAGGTGGTTCTCCGTTCCGTCCAGCTTGCTTGAGATCCCACAGTGGCGGAACGCGTCGATGATGATCTACTTGGGGACTTGATCCCAAGCCTCCGCGATCCACTGCAGCACCACGGGGTGCGGAGGCCTCCGCAGGTTCCCTGCGGGTGGGACAGAGGACGGGGCAGCGAGATGTTAGAGACACGGAATGAAGGAGCATGTTTAAGACAAGGACAGGAATCAGAACAGGAATAAAACCGTAAATGAAGGACCAACTCACCCTTCTTCGTCTTCAGGTGAATCCCTTCACGCATGAACCACCTGGCGTAGCGCGCTCGCACAGCAGCCTTGAAGCACCGGTTGATGGAGACGTCCAGGGGTTGAATCTGGCTCGTACAACCCGCTGGGATGACTGCAGGGGTGATGCTGTGCGTGCGGTACGACTGAAGCATGGTCTGGGTGATGTGACCGCGGTAGGAGTCCAACACCAGCATCGCCCGCCTTGCGTTCTGGCCGCGCTGGGGGTTCAGATGGGGCAACACCTCCTTGGACAGCCAGGTCTGCACAGCGCTCTCGTCCATCCACCCGTTGTCCTGTGCTTGGACCACGATTCCTGCCAGGCACACAAGGGACAGACGGGCATCAGCACAGTGGGGCACGCTCATCAGGCAGTCGCACGGTTGAATTCATTCCGCTTACCTTCCGGAATCTCACAGTTGGGGACGTTCTTCATCTTGAACCACACCCACGGCCGCAGCTTCTCCCTGGATGCAGTGCACGCGAGCATCACCGTCAAGCGCGTCTTCTGGTAGCCTGCAGGCGGATTGGGACCGAGCGCGCGCCACGGTGCTCGATCGTCCGTTCGGCTGGCATCTCCACGAATAGTGGAATTGTGACACGACTCTCCGAGGAGTGTGCAGTGCAGTCGTCATAGTGCAGTCGTCATAGTATTTCAAATCTCAATTATACAACACACTCGAATTGGTAATACAAATAAGAACAAACGAATATCATGAGGTAAATGTTACTAGAAAGGGCTTGGGTAGGGTGGGAAGCAAATCAAGGTCTGAAAATGAGAATGAGACCAGGTGGCAGGTCCCTCGGACCTGTGAGAATGTGAAGGAGCTTGTCTCCTTTACAGCGAACTCCTCTTCTAGTCGAATCACAATCTTCAAAATTTTTAAGTAAACTTTAAAAAAATTTACATATTGTGACACGACTCTCCGAGGAGTGTGCAGTGCAGTCGTCATAGGAGAACGAGACATCACATCGGTGGGCGGTGACGATGGCGAGCGAGTGTCGATACGTAACGACGGGTCGAGCTAGTTCGCGTCGGATCCTGAAGGGTACGCGAGGCCGCCACCAACTCGCGGTCGAGCTGCGTGATATACATCTCCCGAGCCTTGTCACTACGCCATCGTCCGAGGGCCTTAAACAGTCGATCCGGCACACCAACATCGACAGCCACGGTGGCGGCCGATTTGCGGAATGAATGTGTTCCAAGTGAACTCGGGTCGAGGCCGACGCGACAAAATGCTTCGCGACACCAGCCCCTGACCGTGGCGTATGACGGGGATCGATCAGAGGAGGAAGCGCGCGCGGTAGGTGGAAACACACGAATAAGGGGGCCCTTGGTCTGTGAGGAAAATCCGGCAAGAAAGAGGAACTGTTGCATGCGGGAGACCGGGCAGTGGCGAGCGGAAGACGCAGCAACTGGGACCCATGCGCCTGTGCCGGTCTGATCCGTTTTTGAGCGGGGAATAAAGAGCCACATGCAGTCGCTGTCGAATTCGATGTGGTGCCATTCAAGGGCAATCAGATCAGAGAAGCGCAAAATGCTGCAAACATAAGAAGGGGAATGAGGCCGCGTTGGAATGTCGCGGGGTCAGTGGACGAGAAGTAGATGTCGCAGATGTCATAGATCTTGGCGGGAGGTATCGGTTCCTTTGCGACAGATGGTCTGCCGCAGTGGCGTTGCGCATACTCCTTTACTTGTGAGGAAAGTGGTCCTCGAATAGGAGACGGCGAGCCGACCAGCCAGTGGGCACATGAGATAGCGGAGCAGGCGGACCGCACGGCCGAGATGCTGGCACCTTTGCGAACTGAGTGTAGTAAGAAAAGTGCAGTCGTCAGGTCAGTGGCAGGGAGGAATGATAGTAAATGCTCGTTACAAAAGGTGCGATATTGTCGCCAGTATGGTTCATATGTGCGGATAGTTGATTGGGCGCGCAAATCAACCGTGAGCGTCAAGAGATCCCTCAACAATCGTCCGAGGTAGGAACCTGCGAGTTGACATAATTATGCATTAGTCATATATTAAACGAAGGGCATACATATGTGAGTGGGGAAGGCCGGCACCACTAAAGGCATGGGAATCGCTACCAACACGCAGACATATGGAGCCATGGGCGAGATACATGCTCGCACATATATCATGCGCCCAAGTGGTGCCATCTAGGCGTAATAAAGGCCACCAGAAGGCGCTAGGCCATTCCGGAACTACAAGAGTTACGGTCGCCTAAGAACGGCGGGCGTGGGCGAGGACGGCCGGGATTAGAGGCGGTGGGGGAAAGACATAGCAGTTCTCTCCTTTCCAACTAAGAGAAAATGCATCTTGTGCAATGGCATGCTCGTGGTATTCAAGGGAACAAAAACGGGGCAGCTGTGCATTAGACGGCGATGAGAATAGGTCGACTATGTGTGGTCCCCAGTGACACTCAAGTAAACGAAACCATTTCGGTGCAAGGGAATAGTCATCGTGTAGGTCAATCTTCGAAAGGGTATCAGCTTCAGTATTGAGCGCTCGAGGAATCCACTGTGCTGTTAGTCGAATCTTGTGGCGCACACAGAGTGTGATGATGGCCCGACAGATGAGCGTAAGGTCGTTGTGACGAGAACCACCTTTTTTCAAAATATAGTAAGCTGCCTGGCTGTCGCTTCGTAGTAAGACATGTGACCGCTAGATCTCAGTACTGAAAGTAGACAGTGCCCAGAGAATTCCAGCAAGTTCGCGAAGCGTGCTTGAGGTGGCCAATAGCGCACGGGGAAACGGGGAGGAGCTTGAGCCAGCTCGGCCATCCGGCGTGGAATAGCAGCTTCCCCAAGCATGGTCGCTTGCATCCACGTACATGACGACGTCATATATGTGCTGATTATGGAAGCATGAGCCGTTGAAGGCATCGAACTGAGTCAGCCAGAATCGCAGCTCGTCTATCGATTCCGGTGACAACTTGATGGATTCCCCCCAAGACCGACATGCATTGATTTGAGAGAGCAGGTGATGGGAGAAGGCGCGTGCGACAGTACCGAGCGCCAAAGCCATAGAAGCAAGCATGCCAGTTATCCTGGCCGCGCGACGAATCGGGATACGACGCCCGTGCATACTCGTCCGGCATATGTCTTCTAGCTCGTCAAACAAGCGGTCCCGGCGAGAAGCGTCGACTGAGAAAGTTGTTGTGTGAGTATCCAATATAAGGCCAAGAAATTTAAGCCGTTGTGATGGCTCGAGCTGTGACTTTTCCATATTCACGATAAAACCGGCAGAACGAAGGTCCTCTAGGATAATGGCTCGAGTGCGGAGTGCCTCTGACCGCGTCGCACAGATGAATAAGAGATCGTCGACGTAAGGAATTAATCGAATGCCTCTGCTGCGCCAGCGCTTGGCAAGTTGCTTAATCAACTGTGTAAAGACGAACGGCGGTGTGGCGAGCCCGAATGGCAATGACAAAAATTGGTATCGTTGGCCTTGCAAGGAGAATCCGAGGAACTGCCAAAATGAGGGGTGGATGTCCACGTGATGGTAGCCCGACTTAAGGTCTATTGTGAACAGCCATTCGCCCTGGCGCACTAGGTCGGGGACCCGATTGAGTCCTTCATATCGAAACCGAGGGATAGAAAGGAAGGAATTCACGTGGCGAAGGTCTAGTATGAGTCTCTTCTTTGAAGGTTGAACAACCATGTTGAGTGGGCTAATACATGTAAGCGGCGCATCAGGAGGGACGATGCGAGCGGCGCCGGTGGTGAGTAGGTCGGATACTGCCTCTAGCGCAAATGTCGTATGTTGCAACGCACCCGCATGGTTCGAGGCGTGGTGGGGAGTAGGTTCGACTGACCGCCATGGTAGGCGATACCCCGACATAACGACTGACCGAATGAAAAGGCTCGAACACCAAGTGTTCCACCACGGGGTGCGGTCATGCAAACGTCCTCGCATGTGTTGCACGACTCCATGTGCGTCACTCAAGTTGGGCATGAAGCCAGATTCTGGCAGGGTATGGGAAGCAGTATGGACACGGTCGTATGAGGCGAGTGAGTGGATTATAATCTAAAATAATTATACCCTTCCACGCGGTGTAATAATACACCATGTATTATTGTCGTGACCATATATCATGCCCTGACGAAATGATGTGGACTCTCGCGCCCAATTATACATAGTACCCTCATGGAGGCATTGTCCCACTATCTTTTATAGTTTCTCCCCTCCCCCCCTTTTTTTTTTTTTTTTTTTTTTTTTTTTTTTTTTTAGGGCTAGTTGTTGTGTCTTCTTTCTTCTTTATTTATTTAGGGCACTCTTCTTTGTCTCTTGATAAAATGATCACCACATTTTGTTTTCACCAATAGTGTCCCCAAGAGAAATATATGAACGAAGCATTCATCACCAACGCTATCTTTCATAATAGGAATTACCACCCACAGGTTTTCAAGCAATCTTAGCGGGCTGATTAGCCCCTTGGCCGCGTTGCGGGCAATCGGCTATTCCGTGGCCGGGCTCGCGGCAATAAAAACAACGTCCATCGCCATCCCGACGCCAAGTCCAATTGCGTTCCCCTTGGCCTCGATTGCGAGGGGCGGGATTCGGGCGAGATACGGCGGTGGGCCGATGCGGCCTTTTCTTGCTGGCCGCCACAATTTGAGAGGCCGCCTTGACGTTTTTGTCCTCCACTACCTCCCCATACTTAATCTTTAAGGCCATGTTGGCCACCTCGAAACCGCGTTGATCCGCGGTGAATAAAAAGTGAATCTTTTCTCCAGCCTCGTCAACTATCTGCTGTAGTTAATCGGTAAGTTGCTCGCCGCCGTGTGAAGGTACGATGGAAATAGCATGACGTGCAATAGCTTGAATGCGTTCGAAACTAAAGAGTTGAGTGCGAATGCCGTCACTTTTCACGAGAGAAGAACGCAACTGAGGGCGTGCAGGAGGAATGGGAGCCAGGATAG